GCATGATGGTTCATGCCTGTAATCCCAGCATTTTGGGAAGCCAAGGCAGGACGATCGCCTGAGCTCAGGAGTTCAAGACCAGCCTGGGCAACATTGTGAAACACCTTCTCTACCAAAACAAACAAACAAACAAACAAAAACAAAAACAAAAAACAAAATTAGCAGGGTGTGATGGCATGCACCTGTAGTTCCAGCTACTGGGGAGGTTGAAGTGGGAGGATTGTTTGAGCCCAGGAGGGCAGAGGTTGCAGTGAGCTGAGATTGTGCCACTGCACTCCAGCCTTTATTCAGACATTCTGTCTAAATAAATAAATAAATAAATAAATAATCTTCTGACTGTTGTGTTGAGAAGGAAGTGGGGGAGGGTAGGCCAAGGAGACCCACTTAGAAGGATGATGAAGTAATCCAGGAGAGAGATGATGAGGGCTCATAGTGAAGGCAGTAGTTACCTGGAGAGGGAGCTGTGAGTGGGGAGGGGCCTCTCACGGGACCCTCTGCTAGCAATGTTTCTTGATTTACCTGTGTGCTGACTACATGGGTGTACTTTTCTTTTGAGAGAGAGAGTCTTGCTCTGTTGCCCAGGCTGGAGTGCAGTGGCGTGATCACAGCTCACTGCAACCTCTGCCTCTCGGGTTCAAGTGATTCTCCTGCCTCGGCCTCTGGTATAGCTGGGATTACAGGTGTGTGCCACCACACCAGGCTAATTTTTGTATTTTTGGTAGAGATGGGGCTTCACCATGTTGGTCAGCCTGGTCTTGAACTCCCGACTTGAGGTGATCTGCCTGCCTCGGCCTCCCAAAGTGCTGGGATTACAGGAGTGAGCCACCACGCCCGGCCAGACATGTATGTTTTATGTATGTTTATTTACTTATGTTCTATTTCACAATAAAAGAATAAATAAAGCAATAACTTGAGGAACCCAGCTATAAATGGCTGGGAGAGGCTGGAATCCAATTCTAGCACTCTTTACCCTGCTAATCCAACCCAAGGCATAGACCCCAATCTGGCTCACTTATATCCTTGTGCTGTAGCCTGGAGCAAACCTTGTCATTTCTCTCAGCCTCAGTGTTTCATCTGTGAAACCAGGAAACTACTGACTGGCTCTTTACCTCACTAGGGTGTTGTGAAGCTCACAGTGCTTTATAAACTGCGGAAAAGCACACATTATGATTGGTATTTTATTGTTTTTTGTCGTTTTGTTTTTTTTGAGACGAAATCTCGCTCTTGTCCCCAGGCCGAAGTGCAGTGGCACGATCTCGGCTCACTGCAACCTCTGCCTCCCGGGTTCAAGCGATTCTCGTGCCTCAGCCTCCCGAGTAGCTGGGATTACAGGCGCCCGCCACCACGCCCGCTAATTTTTATATTTTTAGTAGAGACGGGGTTTCACCATGTTGGCTAGGCTGGTCTTGAACTCCTGACCTCAGGTGATCCACCCGCCTCAGCCTCCCAAAGTGCTGGGATTACAGGTGTGAGCCACCGTGCCCAGCCTTACTGTGTTTTCAAAACAGTTTTCCTGATATATAATTAAAGTACAATAAATTGCACATAAAGTATACAATTTGATGAGGTTTTTTGGTTTTTATTTGAGACGGAGTTTCGCTATTGTTGCCCAGGCTAGAGTGCAATGGCGCCATCTTGGCTCACCACAGCCTCTGCCTTCTGGGTTCAAGTGATTCTCCTGCCTCAGCCTCCAGAGTAGCTGGGATTACAGGCATGTGCCACCACGCCCGGCTAATTTTGTACTTTTAGTAGAGACAGGGTTCCTTCATGTTGGTCAGGCTGGTCTTGAACTCCCAACCTCAGGTGATCCGCCCGCCTCAGCCTCCCAAAGTGCTAGGATTTACTGGCTTAAGTCACCACGTCCGGCCACTTTGATGAGTTTTAATATATGTATATACCTGTGAAACAATTACCACAATCAAGATAATGAACATATTCCTCACCTCCATGAGTTTCCCTGTACTCCTTTGTAATCTACCCCTCACTTCCCTACTGCCATGTTCCCAGGCAGTTAGTTTGCATTTTCTAGAATTGTATTTTATTTGAGATGGGATCCCACTATGTCGCTTAGGCTAGAGTGCAGTGACCTGATCATAGCTTACCGTGTTAGGCAGGATGGTTTTGATTTGCCCACCTTGGCCTCCTAAAGTGCTGGGATTACAGGTGTGTGCTACGGCACGTGGCCACATTTAAATATTTCTAGTTAGGCCAGCCGCGGTGGCTCACGCATGTAATCCTAGCAGTTTGGGAGGCGAGGTCAGGCAGATTCGAGACCATCCTGGGCCTAACACAGTGAAATCCCGTCTCTACTAAAAATACACAAAAAAATTAGCCCGGAGAGTTGGTGGCAGTGCACCTGTATGCCCATGCTGCTGGGGAGGCTGAGGCAGGAGAATGGCGTGAACTCGGAGGTGCTTGCAGTGAGCCGAGATGGTGCCACTGCACTCCAGCCTGGGCGACAGAGTGAGACTCCGTCTCAAAAAATATATATATATAAAAATATATAGATATAGATATAGATATAGATTTCTAGTTAATTTTTGTATATGGTATGAAGTAAGGGTCAAGGTTTAGACTAGGTGCGGTGGCTCACGCCTGTAATGACAGTACTTTGGGAGGTTAAGGTGGAATACCTGAGGTCAGGAGTTTGAGATTAGCCTGGCTAATACGGTGAAACCCTGTCTCTATCAAAAATACAAAAATTAGCCGGGCATGGTGGCGCACACCTGTAGTCCCTGCTGCTTGGGAGGCTGAGGCAGAAGAATCGCTTGAACCCAGGAGGTGGAGGTGGCAGAAAGCTGAGATCACACCACTGCACTCTGCACTCCAGCCTGGGTGACACAGTGAGATGCCATCTAAAAAAAAAAAAAAAAAAGAAGCTGCTGGAATTCTGATTGGGACTGCATTGAATCTATAGATCTCTTCCTTGCAGGAGGTTTTTTTTCTGATTAATCCTGATTGCTCCAGTAGCAGTCTTCAACTCATCAATCAGCCCACCTTAACCTAGAACAGGACCGGTTTCACTGCAGGTCATGTTGCTGCTCCTTAAACACCCTGTGAATGTACACACCTCCAGCCTTTGCATATCTTATTTCCTTTTATTTATTTATTTATTTTTTGAGACAGGGTCTTGCTTTGCTACACAGGCTACAATGCAGTGGCCCAAACATGGCTCACTGCAGCCTTGACCTCCCAGGCTAAAGTGATCCTCCTGCCTCAGCTTCCTTAGTAGCTGGAACTACAGGCACACACCACCACACCCAGCTCACTTTTGTATTTGTGGTGGAGACAGGGCTTCGCCATGTTGCCCAGGCTGGTCTCGAACTCCTGAGCTCAAGCAATCCTCCCACCTCAGCCTCCAAAGCACTGGGAGTACAAGCATGAGCCACCACGCCTAGCCCTCATTCTCCACTTACGTCCACTGGGCACCACCCTACTCACCCTCAGCTCAAATGTTACCCCTCTATGAAGCTGTCTCTAACTCATCCCAGACCCTGGCTGAATCATTCATTTGCCTGGGTTTCACACCACTTTGTCCTCATCTCCCTCACAGGCACACAGAACCTTTTTTTTTTTTTTTTGAGACGGAGTCTCGCCCTGTCACCCAGGCCGGAGTGCAGTGGGGCTATCTCGGCTCACCGCAAACTCCGCCTCCCGGGTTCACGCCATTCTCCTGCCTCAGCCTCCTAAGTACCTGGGACTACAGGCGCCCGCCACTGAACCCCGCTAATTTTTTGTATTTTTTAGTAGAGACGGGGTTTCACCGTGTTACCAGGATGGTCTCGATCTCCTGACCTCGTGATCTGTCTGCCTCGGCCTCCCAAAGTGCTGGGATTACAGGTGTGAGCCACTGCGCCCGGCTAGAACTTTTAATTACTAGCTAATATCACTTTAAGTGGCCATTACTTGTTTATACCTCTTTCTCCCCTATTAGATAGAACTCTTTCAAGCAGGGATCATATTATTTTTTATCTTTTGAATGAAACCTTTTAAGATAATCATAGATTCATATGCAGTTCATAAGAAATAAATACAAAAGAGATCCCATGTACCCTTTTCTCAGTTTCTCTCAATGGTAACATCTTTAAAAACTTTAGTACAATAACAGAACCAGAAAATTGACACTGATACAATCCACTGCTCTTACTCAAATATCCCCAATTTTACATGTATGCCGTGCGAGTGTGTGTCTGCATTTGTAGTTAAGGACATCTTTTTACTATTTAAACTTTAAGAACGACATTAGGACGTTTTGAAAGTAACGTAGTAAAGGCAGTTAAGCAAGCGACTTAGAGTATCGTTGGAGCCCAGAAGAAGCCCTAGTACACTTTTGGAGGAGTGATGATGGTGAGGGGGAATGGGGAAGGACGTCAGAATATGCCTTGGTCAAGGCCCGCTGCTAGCAGCTGCTCAAATAACTGCATTAAATTACGTTGAACCCAGCGTTATTTTCCATGGTTTCTTATGCAAATCCTCGCATCCCTAAATGTTCCATTATTTTCATATTTATTTGGCAGGTGGAACATTCGAGGCTGGGAGCCCTTACATGCCCCGCGAGAGGTCACGCAGTTAGGAAGTGACAGGAGTGAAGTCGGCCCAAGTCCGCTGACTCCAAGCCCAGTGCTCTCTCCCCCTAATGACGGTACGCGGGGCACATATCTTTACCACGTATGCCTTATCACTATTCGGAACTTTGCCTCCAACCCTCTTCCTGTTTTCTTGGCTGTCTTACAAGGCAGCCTTTTCACGCAGCAACTCCAGAGAGAACCGACGGAGCGTGCAACAGCAAACACTAAGGAGCTCAGCCGCCGGCCACGCACTCATCACTCCCTGGCCCGGTGCGCGGCAGAACTGGCGCACGCGCACGCCGGCAGGTTGCACCCAGAATCCGGGCCCTTGCGAGACAGGGACGGAACCGGAAATCGCTGTACGTCTCACGGTTGCTAAGAGACGGAGCTTCCACAAACCAGAACCAGATAGAGGTTCTCCAGCTTTTCTTCGATTGTCTCTGCTTTAGCGTCTCTAAATCCGGTCACCATGTCGGACCCCGAAGGCGAGACCTTGCGAAGCACCTTTCCCTCTTACATGGCGGAAGGCGAGCGGCTCTACCTGTGCGGGGAATTCTCTAAAGCCGCTCAGAGCTTCAGCAACGTGAGTCGAGCTCTCAACCTATCCATCACCCCGTCACCCGTCACTTTTTTTTTTTTTTTTTTTTTGAGACGGAGTTTCACTCTTGTTGCCCAGGCTGGAGTGCAATGGCACGGTCTCGGCTCGCCGCAACCTCCACCTTCAGGGTTCAAGCGATTCTCCTGCCTCAACCTCTCAAGTAGCTGGGACTACAGGCGCCGCCCACCATGCCCGGCTAATTATTTTGTATTTTTCGTAGAGACGGGGTTTTCACTATGTTGGCCAGGCTGGTCTCGAACTCGTGATCTCGTGATCCACCCACCTCGGCCTCCCAAAGTGCTGGGATTACAGGCGTGAGCCACTGAGCCCGCCCCAGTCACCTTTTGATTGCAGATAACACTGAGGTCTTGATGATGCCTGGAGGACCCTATTATTTGTATTATTCACTGATTGTTGATGGACACACTGCTGTCACAGATAAGCCCTGTGCTTGGCCATTTTCTACGAATTCCCACTTGCGATCTCCATTCTCTACATTAACAGTGACCTCTTCCTCTTTTTTACTTAAATGTTTCATGATTAACCGGCCTCCTCCCAAAGAGCGGCCTTCACTGCCCATCATTTGCTGGCAGATTGGATGGGAGGTTGTGTGCAGAAGCTGCAATGTCTCCAGCACACCGTTACTTACAAAAGGTGGACAGTAAGCAACATATTATTATTATTACTACTATTAATTTTGAGACAAAGTCTTGCTCTGTCGCCCAGGCTGGAGTGCAGTAGCGAGATCTCAGCTCATTGCAACCTTCGCCTCCCTAGGTTCAAGCGATTTTCCTGCCTCACCCTAGGGAGTAGTTGGGATTACAGGTGTGTGCCACCACGCCTGGCTAATTTTTGTATTCTTAGTAGAGACAGGGTTTCACCATGTTGGCCAGGCTGGTGTTAAACTCGTGACCTCAAGTGATACACCTGCCTCGGCCTCCCAAAGTGCTGAGATTATAGATGTGAGCCGCCGCACCAACCAGCAACATTATTATAGTAACCCTAGTATAAATTGCATCATCCCACCCTGAGGGGATTGGGTGCTGGTTGGTTTTTTGTTGTTGTTGTTGTTGTTGTTGTTGTTGTTTTGGAGATGTAGTCTTGCTCTGTCTCTAAGCTGGAGTGCAATGGTGTGATCTTGGCTCACTGCAACCTCCACCTCCTGGATTCAAGCCACTGCCTTAGCCTCAGGCACACTGCTAAGCATACTCGATTTTTGTTGTTGTTGCTCTTGTTTTTTTTTTTTTTTTTTGAGGTGGAGTCTCGCTCTGTCACCCAGGCTGGAGTGCAGTGACCGGATCTCAGCTCACTGCAAGCTCTGCCTCCCGGGTTTACGCCATTCTCCTGCCTCAGCCTCCCGAGTAGCTGGGACTACAGGCGCCCGCCACCTCGCCCACCTAGTTTTTTTTTTGTATTTTTTTAGTAGAGACGGGGTTTCACCGTGTTAGCCAGGATGGTCTCGATCTCCTGACCTCGTGATCCTCCCGTCTCGGCCTCCCAAAGTGCTGGGATTACAGGCTTGAGCCATCGCGCCCAGCCTGTTGTTGTTCTTAAGATGGAGTTTTGCTCTTGTCGCCCAGGCTGGAATGCAGTGGCATGATCTCGGCTCACCCCAACCTCCACCTCCCAGGTTCAAACGATTCTTCTGCCTCAGCCACCGAGTAGCTGGGATTCCAGGCATGCCCCACCACGCCCAGCTAATTTTGTATTTTTAGTAGAGATGGGGTTTCTCCATGTTGGTCAGGCTGGTCTCGAACTCCCCTCCTCAGGTGATCCCCCCACCTCAGCCTCCCAAAGTGCTGGGATTACAGGCGTGAACCACCCCGCGCAGTGTATACTCAATTTTATAGATGAAGAAATATACAGAAGTTGAGCAACATGTCCAAGGTTGCTGAACTAGCAAGTGGCAGAGGAAGGATTCAAAGCTGGGCTTAGATTCCAAGGCTGAGGTGCTAACCACCAAACTATACATCCAACATCTGCATAAGGAAACTCTTTCTTTCTTTCTTTCTTTCTTTTTTTTTTAGAGATAGGATCTCGTTCTATCTCCCAGGCTGGAATGTGGTGGCACAATCACAGCTCAATACAGCCTCAAACTCCTGAGCTCAAGTGATCCTCCCACCTTAGTGTTCCAAGTAGCTGGAGCTACAGGCTTACACCACCATACCTGGCTATTTTGTTTTGTTTTGTTTTGTTTTGTTTTGTTTTGTTTTTTGTAGAGACAGGTGTTTTGCTGTGTTGCCCTGGCTGGTATTGAACACCTGAGCTCAAGTAATACTCCCACTTTGGCTTCACAAAGTGCTAGGATTACAGGTATGAGCTACAGTGCCCTAAAAAGATGTTTTTATGACCATTTCTTTTGCTCCAAATTGCCCACTTCTTATTCTAGATAGAGTGGTAGGATAACCCTACAGTCTCAAGACTTCCTGTAAGATCAAGCTTCTCAACAGCTCCCCAGAGTTGTTTGTCCCTTTCAGTCACCAACCACACCCTAAAACCAGAAATGATGACCAGATAAGTGAACAATTGAGTTCAGAAGCCCTGTCCCCACTTATTCTCCTCCTGCTGGATCATGTCCCATCCTGAAGTACCCCGGCAGAGAAAAAGAACACCCTGAGGGAAGGGTAGCCTTGGATGAGACGTAGTCACTTTCCAGAAAGACAGTAGCTACTTCCTCTTCTTAGAAAAGTAATAAGGTCTTAGAAAGGGCTGGGTACCTGAGAGACAGAGGTTGCAGTGAGCCAAGATTGTGCCATTGCACTCTAGCCTGGGCAGCAAGAGTGAAACTCCGTCTCAAAAAAAAAAGACCAGGTCAGGTGGCTCAGGCCTGTAATCCCAGCACTCTGGGAGGCCAAAGCAGGTGGATCACCTAAGGTCAGGTGTTCGAGACCAGCCTGGCTAACATGGTGAAACCCCGTTTCTACTAAAAATACAAAAAATAAACCAGGTGTGGTGGCGAGTGCCTATAATCCCAACTACTCTGGAGGCTGAGGCAGGAGGATTGCTTGAACCCAGGAGGCTGAGGTTGCAGTGAGCCAAGATTGTGCCATTGCACTCCAGCTTTGGCAACAAGAGCGAAACTCCATCTCAAAAAAGAAAAAAGAAGAAAATTAGCCAGGCGTAATGGCAGGCGCCTGTAGTCCCAAGTATTCGGGAGGCTAAGGCAGGAGAATTGCTTCAACCCGGGACTCGGAAGTTGCAGTGAGCAGAGATCGTGCCACTGCACTCCAGGCTGAGTGACAGAGAGACTGTCTCAAAAAAGAAAAAGAGGGGTGGGTACAGTTAGATGCCTCAGGAAGGACAGTACACCACAGACTATGGTAATCATCTCACACAGAAGAGAGGGAAAATCTCCCTCAACCCCACTTTAGGGTCAAAATCACAGTTTCATTTTCCTGGCTTTTTTTTTTTTTTTTTTTGAGACAGCGTCTCACTGCATCACCCAGGCTGGAGTACAGTGGCATGATCTCAGCTCACTACAACCTCTGCCTCCCAGGTTCAAGCGATTCTCTTGCCTCAGACTCCTGAGTAGCTGGGATTACAGGTGCTCACCACCACATCTGGCTAATTTTTGTGTTTTTAGTAGAAACAAGTTTCACCATGTTGGCCAGGCTGGTCTCGAACTCCTGACCTCATAATCCACCCGCCTCGGCCTCCCAAAGTTCTGGTATTACAGGTGTGAGCCGCTGCACCCGGCCTCTTTTTGTTTTGTTTTGTTTTGTTTTGTTTTTTGAGACAGAGTCTCATTCTGTCACCCAGGCTGGAGTGCAGTGGTGTGATCATGGCTTACTGCAGCCTCGACCTCTCCAGGTTCAAGCAATCCTCCCATCTCAGCCTCCTGAGTAGCTGGGACTACAGTCATGGACCACCACACCCAGCTAATTTTTTGTATTTTGTAGAGACAGGGTTTGCCATGTCAAACTCTTGGGCTCAAGCATTCCGTCCACTTCGACCTGCCAAAGTGCTTGTATTGGCCGAGTGTGGTGGCTCACGCCTGTAATCCCAGCACTTTGGGAGGCCAAGGTGGGCGGATCACAAGGTCAGGAGATCGAGACCATCCTGGCTAACACAGTGAAACCCCGTCTCTACTGAAAATACAGAAAAATTAGCAGGGTGCAGTGGCGGGCGCCTGTAGTCCCAGCTACTCGGGAGGCTGAGGCTGGAGAGTGGTGTGAACCCGGGAGGCGGAGCTTGCTTTTGGGCTCAAGCATTCCGTCCACCTCAACCTGCCAAAGTGCTCGTATTGGCCGGGCGTGGTGACTCACACCTGTAATCCCAGCACTTTGGGAGGCCAAGGCGGGCAGATCACAAGGTCAGGAGATCGAGACCATCCTGGCTAACACAGTGAAACCCTGTCTCTACTAAAAATACAAAAAAATTAGCCGGGCATGGTGGTGGGCGCCTGTAGTCCCAGCTACTCGGGAGGCTGAGGCAGGAGAATGGCATGAACCCAGGAGGCGGAGCTTGCAGTTAGCCGAGATCGGGCCACTGCCCTCCAGCCTGGGTGACAGAGCTGAGACTCAAAAACAACAACAACAACAAATAAAGTGCTGGGATTACAGGCGTGAGCCACCACTCCCAGCCTTTTCCTGGCACTTTCATCATAATTCCCGGGTATAGTGATTAGTTCTTGATTAGCTACATAAAAAGAGAAGGCTACTGGAATGGTTAACCCACATGGCAGATTGTCCTCAAGTCCACTTCAGAATGCTTAGCCTTTGAAATTTACTCTGAGTATGATGTGTTGCCATTTCAGGTTTGTGGTTGAGTTTGGTGTGCACAAAATACCCTATAGTTCTATTGCCTGAGGAGACTGGGGGGCTCTCAGACATTGGCAGAAAGTCAGCGTATCCACAGAGTAGCATATTCCCACTCTTCAGCCAGTGGTTTCCATCGTAGCCATGATTTGACCTTGTTCAAGGTGAGCCATGTGCAGATAATCAAGTTGACTGAGTGCAGATCGGAGTTGTGCTGCTTAGGAGCCAGAGGCCTGTGTGCTGGCCTGAAGAATCCCCTTGAACCTCTGCAGGAGGGTTTGGGCTGCCCTTCCCACTGCAGCTTCTACCTTGCTCTTCATGCTGGCTGTCAACCTGACTGGTTTCTTTGTCAGGCTCTTTACCTTCAGGATGGAGACAAGAACTGCCTGGTTGCTCGCTCAAAGTGCTTCCTGAAGATGGGAGACTTGGAGAGATCCCTGGAGGATGCTGAGGCTTCGCTCCAGAGTGACCCAACTTTCTGTAAGGTGACTGCATGGGCGGGAGGACTCGATCCTGCTATTGCCTGCAGCAGCTGCGGGTTACAAGTAGTTGTAACAAGTAGTTGTTACAAGTAGAAGCAGCCAGACTGCCTAGTGTTTGATGCCGTTTTCTCTTCATAGGTCATTGCCTAAGTCCCTGCCCCCTGTATTCCAACCTTGACCCTCAACCCAGGACCCTTCTGTTCCACCACATGTGAGTCCTATAAGGCCTTATCTGTTCACATTGATTTGATTTCCTCCCATTCCAGGGGATTTTACAAAAGGCTGAGACACTGTACACCATGGGAGACTTTGAGTTTGCCTTGGTATTCTATCATCGAGGCTACAAGCTGAGGCCTGATCGGGAATTCAAAGTTGGCATTCAGAAAGCCCAGGAAGCCATCAACAACTCAGTGGGAAGTGAGTGGCCACAGGGCCTATGCCCTTATCCAGGAAGGTCCTTGGAATCCTTAGGTTTAGAGGAAGGCTGAGGTACAGCAGGTGAGCAGCCACCGCCAGGCCCGCAGGGAGTCCCACACTTGGATTTGGCTGCTGCAGTGTTGTTGAGGATTAGTTGGGCGTGGTGGCCGGCGCCACCTGTCTGCCGGGAGGACCATTCCCTGACGAACACACTGATCTCTGAGCGCTGCAGCCTTGGGTTTTCCTAAAGGTCAGCTTAGAAGGGCTGTTTCAAAGTAGGCCTGTCTTTAGCCTGGTGTCAAAAGCTAGAACGCGGTCCTAAGCCCAGCCTTCTGTAGTCCCTGGCTTCCTCCCTCACCACACGTATACCAAGGGCTGGCCTCAGCCATCAGCATTAAGGCAGGGGTAGAAGGGAAGCAAGTGAGAACAAGTGAGAGCTTGCTCTGTGGGTGGCAGGGCCTGGAAATGGACAGTTTCCCCTGTACCCTTGGCCTCCCTTTGTCTGTAAATCTGGCTGCCATAGCCTTGGGCTAGTGGGGGCTGTTAGCTCCTAGGAGTTATACCAAACAGCCTGCACTATTTGCTTGCTAGGCTGGCTTAAGGCCAGCTTTGCCACAGCCTCCACCATCCCCCTGCCAAAGGCAGCCATTTCCACCTAAAAATATGTTATAGATCATGCGTGGGGGTTCTGGCCGTGGGGGCCTGGCCGACCTGAGCTCCAGCTTCTTTCCTTGCAGGTCCTTCTTCCATTAAGCTGGAGGACAAAGGGGACCTCTCCTTCTTAAGCAAGCAGGCTGAGGTAAGGGCCCTGGTTCTGCGGTTGTATCCCTCCAAGGGAAGAGGCTGTGTGTGCCTGAGAAGGGGTCTTGGGAGTCTAGCTGCAACCCGACCAGGCATACTCCATGGCTCTTGGCCCACAGAAAGGTCCTGGAGTTGGAGGAATCTGGGATCACAGACCCTAGGGCCATGGCTGGGTATATTCTGCTCCTTGCTGAAGCTCTGCTGGGTGTTGCTCCATTTTCTTAGACTATAAAAGCCCAGCAGAAGCCTCAGCCCATGAGACACCTCTTACACCCCACCAAGGGAGAGCCCAAGCGGAAGGGCTCACTCAAGAGTGAGAAGACTGTTCGCCAGCTTCTGGGGGAGCTCTACGTGGACAAAGAGTATCTGGAGAAGCTCCTATTGGATGAAGGTTTCGGACAGTTTGTTGGCACAGGGCCTTGGGGGAAAGGAAATTTGGGTGGATGTTTCATGCATGAGCCGAAGGCAGAACCTGTCGTATAATATTAGCTGACATGTACCTATGGACGGGTTTTATTAGCATTCTCATTTTACACATGAGGAAACTGAGGCGCAGACCAACGGAAACTAAGGTCACATATAGGTAGGCAATGACATGGCTTACATTCGAATCCAGGAAGTCCAATTTTAGAGCAATGCTCCTAAGTGCTATGGTACCCTGGGATGGTACCCTGGGAGGGAACAACAGAGATTTGGTCTCCTTTACCACCATAGTCCCTGAAGGGACATCCCCTTTGCCTTCAATCTTTACAATGGGCAAACGAATCCAGCACACAGGTGCTTGAATCTGAGGATATTAGTTGAAGGATGTTCTGAAACATCATCTGGTCCAAGTACTCCTTTCATAGATAAGGAAATAGAGACCCTGATTGGGGAGGAACTTTTACAAGTTGACAAACAAGTTCGTGGTGGAGTCACCAGCAGAACCCAGGCCTCTGACCTCCAGTCCAGTGCTCTTTCTTTTAAAGACAGAGTCTTGCTCTGTCGCCCAGGCTGGAGTGCAGTGGAGCAAACTTGGCTCACTGCCACCTCCATCTCCTGGGTTAAAGCGATTCTCCTGCCTCAACCTCCCTAGTAGCTAGGATTACAGGCACCCACCACCACGCCCGGCTAATTTTTTGTATTTTTAGTAGAGATGGGGTGTCACCATGTTGGCCAGGCTGGTTTCGAACTCCTGACCTCAAGTGATTTGCCCGCCTCAGCCTCCCAAAGTGCTGGGATTACAGGTGTGAGCCACCACACCTGGCCAGTCTAGTGCTCTTTCCACCACACTGCTGCCAGTGACAGGATGAAGGACAGAGGCCTGAGATGAATGTCTCGCATTAACATGGGGATGGGAGTATTGCCATTAGCTGATAAGCCTGAGCAGGGTCACCTGTGAACCAAATGCCTCTTCTCCAGAATTGGCTTCCCAAGGTCATATGTAGGGTTCCCTGTTCCGTGACACAGGAACAGCTTCACTGCTGGCACATCTCCTTGGCAACAGGCTGAATGCCTCCTGTTCTCCAGAGGACCTGCTGCAGAGGGAAGGGGTGGCTTGAATATTACCTCAAGTGGCCTTGTAGCTTTGCTACTGGCTGTAACCTCTGGCCAGGCAGTGAGCAGGAGTTGGGCACTCCCCTTCCAGCTCCCAGCATGCACAGGCCCACTGGGCACCTGGGAAATCACTGAGCACTGGCAGCCTGGGCCAGATCGTGCATTTAGACCCAGTGTTCTCTGAGGACACAGTTTGAACTGGGGAAGCCCCAAGGCTTCTCAGCGAGCCGTCCACCAGCTGCCCCTTCTGGTTAGCTCCTCATATCTTGCCATAAGGTGCCCATACCATGGAACTCCCTGAAAGTGGGGCTCTGGCTGCATCCTGGCCTGGATAAACCCACTCTGCCACCATGCGCACTCACATTCCTCTCTGTTTCAACAACTCCAGGCAGAGCTCTTCACAGAGGGCCCTGCAGCAGCTACCGGGAGGCAACAGGAGGCAAACCCCTTAGAGGCCTGTTCTCCTTGGCGCCTCCTCACACCCCTTCCCCACAGACCTGATCAAAGGCACCATGAAGGGCGGCCTGACTGTGGAGGACCTCATCATGACGGGCATCAACTACCTGGATACTCACAGCAACTTCTGGAGGCAGCAAAAGCCGATCTATGCTAGGGAGCGGGACCAGAAGCTGATGCAAGAGAAATGGCTGCAGGACCACAAACGCCATCCCTCACAGACAGCCCATTACATCCTCAAGAGCCTGGAGGACATTGATATGTGTGGGTGTTGTTCTCAGAGGGTGGGGCAGGTGCGTCCAGTGCCTTATCAGGTTGGGAAGGAGCAACCAGGTGTCTGAGCCCCTGGTCTCTCTGACCTGCAGATGGTGTCTGCAGGAAGAGGAGTTACCCCGTCAGCCAAGAGGAGGCTGCCCTGGCCTCCACAGCACCCCTTTCCTTTCCCAGTGCTCACAAGCGGCAGTGCTGAAGGGAGTCTTCAGAAAGCCGAGAAAGTGCTGAAGAAGGTACTGGAATGGAATAAGGAAGAGGTACCCAACAAGGATGAACTGGTTGGAAACTTGTATAGCTGCATAGGGAATGCCCAGATTGAGCTGGGGCAGATGGCGGCAGCCCTGCAGAGCCACAGAAAGGACCTGGAGATCGCCAAGGAATAGTGAGTGCCCTAGGGGAGGCCACTGGCGTGAGCCTACAGGGAAGGACACCTGGGGCTATCTGAGGCCCTTGCCAGGGCTGCTGGTGGCTTGACTCCCATTTTCTGCTCTGCATGCCCGAGGTAGATTCTCCCGGAGGTGGGGACCACCTGCCCAGGACTGAGGGTGGGGGCACCTAGACTGTTAGCTTCTTTGCCACAAAAAGGGTAGTGGCTCAGAATTCCAAAAAGCTACCCAATGATCTGGCTCTTAGGGGTGTTTATATTCTTACATCATCTTGACAAGCACGCATGAAGCCCCAGACATGCCAGATGCGGCTAGTGTGGGAACACAGTAATAACCAGACACAAGGGTCATTTCCTTGCAGATATCAAGCAAAAAGGGACATAACTAATTAATTGCAATGGTGATAAGTGCCACAGAAGAAAAGTACAGAATCCTGTGTGGTGAGAAATACATTCCAGGAGGACTTGATGACATTGGGAAACACACAGGGCCTATGGAAAGGCCCTGAGACAGGAGGGTACTTAAGGCTGGAGAGCACAGCATATTGCCAGGGAGAGTGGCCAAGAGGAGACTGAAGGAAGTGGGCAGGGGTCAGATCAAGCAGGGTCTTGTAAAACTGGTGCTGACCGGCCGGGCGCGGTGGCTCAAGCCTGTAATCCCAGCACTTTGGGAGGCCGAGACGGGCGGATCACGAGGTCAGGAGATCGAGACCATCCTGGCTAACACGGTGAAACCCCGTCTCTACTAAAAAATACAAAAAACTAGCCGGGCACGGTGGCGGGCGCCTGTAGTCCCAGCTACTCGGGAGGCTGAGGCAGGAGAATGGCGTGAACCTGGGAGGCGGAGCTTGCAGTGAGCTGAGATCCAGCCACTGCACTCCAGCCTGGGCGACAGAGCCAGACTCCGTCTCAAAAAAAAAAAAAAAAAAAAAAACTGGTGCTGACCAAGAGCACGGGCTGTGGAGTCAGGCAGATCTAGGCTGTGGAACTTGTGTCGCACAGCCGTGGGACCTGAGACAAGTCACTTTAGCTCCCTCAGCCTCAGGGTCTCCTCTGTTAGCTGGGCACCCTGTAGGGTGGAAGGGAGGATGAAATGCAGAAGTACATGTACAGACCTTAGGACAGTACCTGGTATCCACAGTAGTAGTAATACCAGCTCTCCAGAAATGAGCTCTTCTCAAGACTTGCTGGCTTCTACCCAGAGGTTCCATTGCTTTCTCAGCATCCTGGTTCTACCCTTTGGAGTCCTTCTTTTTTTTTTTTTTTTTTTTTGAGACAGAGTTTCACTCTTATTGCCCAGGCTGGAGTGCAATGGTACGATCTCAGCTCACCACAACCTCCGCCTTCCAGGTTCAAGCAATTCTCCTGCCTCAGCCTCCCAGGTAGCTAGGATTACAGGCATGCACCACTACGCCCAGCTAATTTTGTATTTTTAGTAGAGACAGGGTTTCTCCATGTTGAGGCTGGTCTCGAACTCCTGACCTCAGGTGATCTGCCTGCCTCAGCCTCCCAAAGTGCTGGGATTACAGGCGTGAGCCACCGCGCCTGGCCTGGAGTTCGTATTTTTAATAGAGATGGGGGTTCACCGGGTTAGCCAGGATGGTCTCACTCCTGACCTCAGGTGATCTGCCTGCCTCAGCCTCCCAAAGTGCTGGGATTACAGGCGTGAGCCACCGCGCCTGGCCTGGAGTCATTCTTGACTTCCTCCTGCCTGGTTTCTACTCATCTCACCAGTCTGAGCCTCCTTGGTCTCCCATCATCCCATTTGCCCTCACAGCGCCCAGCCCTCAGCCGACCTGAGTCCTGCTGCTTTCCCTGCCTCTGCCGTCTCTCTCCAGCTCCTCCTGCAAATCTCCAGAGACACATGCTATGAACTCTCCCTCCCCTGCTCACAAGTGGGCCTGGGCCCCTCACTGCCTGCAGGTTAAAGGTCAAGCCCCTTTGCTTGACCCTCAGGCCCTCTCTAAACCCACCCTTGCCCTCTTATAGCAATCTTCCCTTGGGGTCAAACGTTCCTGAACATTACTGCCTCCTGCACTTTCATCTTCACTGATCCAAGCCCCACATGCTTTCCATTCCCAGTTCATTTCTCGCCTGCCTCCACTGTGCTGAGCAGGAATATCCCATATTGGCCGTCCCGTATTAGAAAAAAACAGCTTTCGGGACAGACCTGTCTTTGATCCCTGGCTCTGCCACTTAGAAGCTGCGTGGATTTGATTAAGTTGCTCCTCTACTCAGTTTCCTCATCTCTAATGAAGGCATAGTAATACCAACCCACAGGGATTGTGGGGATTAGATATGATGTATACATATGGTACCTTGGATCCAGCCATCTCCAATGCACAAATGAGTTAGGAATCTTTACTTCTCACCAGACCTCTCTTCTGAGCCTCAGACCTCTGTGTCCAGCAGATTCTAAGACATTTCCATCTAGATGTCCCACAAGAATCCTAAACTTAACATGTTGAAATCAGAATCCCTTATCTTCCTCCCAAAGTTACTTCTTGAGGGTTCCCCATCTGCGAGGATAGCAGTGTTGGCCACTCAGTCCCCAAGCCAGAAGCCCGGAGGTTTCCCAGACACCTCCCTCCCCTCACTGTTTTTGCTATATTGCTCAGGTTGGTATGGATGACAGGCGTGAGCCACCGCGCCTGGCCCCCTCACTGTTCATGCCCAGCACCGGCCATGTCCTGTCCTGTCTGTGCTTTCTCTGTTTCCCTCCCACAACTCAGTCCAGACCCTCCTTACTTCTTGCCTGTTTCCTCTGACCTGGGCTTCCTACAGCTCAGCTGACCTTTCTCTGAAAAGCAACTCCTGTGGTTGGGATGAAGTTTCAATGCCCTGCTCAACACAGGTTGCCCTTCTTCACTTGACTTCTCCTGGCCTCTCTTGACCTGGCTTTCTCAAGGCCCCCAGGCATTCTGCTTCCCAGCCAGTGCAGAGCTCTGTGCATATCCTCCAGCCCCAGGAATGCTTTCCTTTTCCCCAGCACTTTAATTTATCAGGCTGCCTCCACCCATTCTTCAACATTTCAATAAAGGTTGAAAAGCCTGCCTCCTAGGCCAAGCTCGGTGGCTCACGCCTGTAATTCCAGCACTTTGGGAGGCCGAGGTGGGCAGATCATGAGGTCAGGAGATGGAGACCATCCTGGCTAACATGGTGAAACCTCATCTCTACTAAAAATACAAAAAAATTAGCTGGGCGTGATGGCGGTCGCCTGTAGTCCCAGCTACTTGGGAGGCTGAGGCAGGAGAATGGTGTGAACCCAGGAGTCGGAGCTTCCAGTGAGCCAAGATCGGGCCACTGCACTCCAGCCTGGGCGACAGAGCGAGACTCCATCTCAAAAAAAAAAAAAAAAAAAAAAAAAAGCCTGCCTCTTGTCCCAGGGGGTACAAATCCCTCCCCTGGGCTCCCTCTCCACAGGTAGCCTGTCTGCCCTGTTAGACTTTGGAAGGTGCTGTTCCCAGCACCTGCCACACAGTGGGCATGTAATGAATGTGTGCTAAGTGACTAAATAAGTAAACAGAGGTGTTCCTTAATTTTAGTTCAATTCCTTTTTTTTTTTTTTTTAAGATGGAGTCTTGCTCATCGCCCACGCTGGAGTGCAGTGGCACGATCTTGGCTCACTGCAAGCTCCGCCTCCCGGGTTCACGCCATTCTCCTGTTTCAGCCTCCCGAGTAGCTGGGACTACAGGCGCCCGCCACCACGCCCTGCTAATTTTTTGTATTTTTAGCAGAGACAGGGTTTCACTGTGTTAGCCAGGATGGTCTCAATCTCCTGACCTTGTGATCCGCCCGCCTTGGCCTCCCAAAGTGCTGGGATTACAGGCGTGAGCCACTGTGCCCGGCCTTTTTTTGGAGACAGAGTTTCACTCTTCTTGCCTAGGCTGGAGTGCAATGGAGTGATCTCAGCTCACTGCAACCTCCACCTCCCTGGTTCAAGTGATTCTCCTACCTCAGCCTCCTAAGTAGCTGGGATTATTGGCAGCCCGGCTAATTTTGTGTTTTCAGTAGAGATGGGGTTTTACCATATTGGCCAGGCTAGTCTCTAACTCCTGACCTCAGGTGATCTACCCACCTTGGCCTCCCAAAGTGCTGGGATTACAGGTGTGAGCCACCATGCCCAGCCTATTAGTTTTTAAACATCCACTAATGGGCCTCACCCAGGCTCACTCCAGTCTTCCTTGTGAGTCCTGTGTGCTTCAGGGGCTCCCTCATTCTAATTAGCCACTTGCTGATTAGCCACTTACTAGTCTAAGTGGTTTTTTCAGTGCCCACGGCACTCATTTATTTCTCTGAATAATCTGTAAATTATTTGATCACATGCTTTATTTTTGCTATTATGATTTTTAGTATATATTGTCATAAAAAATGAACATACTACAGCTTATTCACTCATTCAACTCGCCAGAACAGAGCACCCATTCTAGAAGAGGGGATCCACTCTGATGGGCTGTGACAGCAGCAGGTGCACAGTGAGGCCCAGGGACCAAGGAGAGAGGCAGGTGGGAACTTGGCAGGGGCCTCAGGGAGGGCAGCAGGGTCAGTAAGGTGGGCAAGGGGAAGGGAGAAGGGGAGCTTGGGCAGGGCAGAAAGATGTGGCAGGGATGGAGGACTTGGAGAACCACAGGTAGGCAGGTGGGGCAGGGCTAGGGACCAGGGCCTGCAGGCAGTGGGAGGTCTGGATGCCATGCCTGGAAACCGGTTCAGCCCTCAGGCACTGAGGCCCAGAAAATAGTGGGTTTTTTGTGTGTGTTTTGTTTTGTTTTGTTTTAGAAGCAGGGTATTGCTCTGCTGCCCAGGTTAGAGTGTAGTGGTGCAATCGTATTTCACTGCAGCCTCCAACTCTTAGGCTTAGGCAATCTTCCTGCCTCACCCTGCTGAGTAGCTGGGACTACTGGCATGAGCCATTGTGCCCATGTTTTGTTTTTACGTACTATAATGTCAGACTTGCAGGCTTGAACCGGAACTGGGTGGTACTGAGAGCAAAACCTGAA